TAGTATTACTGCTACTATATTTATTGTAATTACCACTCTCCTTTGTGAACCTTTCTCATGTTTTTATCTCCAACTCCTTTCCTGTAGCAGGATCCCCACATAGCTTGGCTACTTTCTTCCATAATTCATTGAACAAATCCTCTGTTCTTAGCACAGTGATCATGAGCTGTGGTAAGTGGGGGGGAGAATAGTAGTAGTACAAGAAGGAAACCAAAAAGCAAGAATATACCAAGCCAACTTTTGCAAGCCAAGAATTGTGAATTATGTCTCACCAATATACAAAGTACAGTGGCCACCTTCTTTGTAAAAAATTCATAGAAAGATGCCAGAGTGATATCTTTTGGATCTTTGATCCTCTCCATATCCACTGCCGTCTTCATTATGTGAGCAGTAATTCTGTTATTGATAGGGAACTTCACCTTGGTGTGCCAGTACTTTYCACAGAACTCTTCAGTTGCCCTTCCACCACRTCAAGCATAATATTCAAAACTTCRATGTCTCTTTTTGAAAGAAGGACAGATTCATAGCTGCTAAGATAACTTACTTTTTCAGGTTCTTCTTTGTTGTATGTCAACTCTTCTAGTGATAGTAGCCTCTGATGTTTTTGCACTGTGATGCTCCTGTTTTACAAGCTGCTTTATTGTTCTTTGCTGCWKCATCTGAAGCATCAGTTGTTGGATGGGAAGAGCAGCTGCAAGAATAGCATCACTGTTATTGTAGATGGCAGTGTCACTGTCATTGTTGCTAGCAGTAGCTGTGACTTTGGAGAAGCTTTTTTATCCCTCTGGTTTCTGTTGTCCTTGTTTGTACAAGCTCTTGGTGATCTGTTGCTACAGGAGTACTGGTGTGAGAAGAAGATGAAGTATTAACAATGACGTTGTTGTTGTTCCCCATGTTGGACAGTCAACACACATGATTGAAGGCCTTGGAACACTCCTCTTGTTACTAGCTGTTGGCTTCTTGGTGGTGATACCTTTATTAGTAGTAGGTCTAGTGGTGATATTCTTCTTGGGCTTCCTGCTGTAATCTGGTTTTGTGAGGGTTCTCACATCATTGTCATTTGCATTTTGACCAGTACTATACATGTTTGGTACTATAGAACAGTGATTTATTTACAAAGCAAAGTTTTATGTTTGTGCACAAAAAATCTGTTTTGTTTATTAGTAGGACATTGTATTTTTTCTGCTGCRCTGCTACACAGTTTGCATGTGCTCTCTTAAATCCTGCCATTATAATGTGCATTTATTTTGGCTGGCGCATATTCTATGGAAGCCAGCCATGCCGCGCCACTTTTTGCAGGAATGACTGGACATAATCTTCATTTTTGATTCAATTGATTCAATGCAACACCCACCAGCAGCAGCGACTCTCAGCAACACTATGAGTGACACTTTGCATCACTAACAAGAACACCCATCAGCAACACTAGTATCAGCATAACRATCAGCATCAYAATTAGCAACACAATTAGCAACACTATTGATGCCACTCAACAACATAACCAACCAGCAAACAASAAGAAGKACAACGCGACAATTGGTAACGCCAAGGAGGGCCCTCATGGAGTCCCAATCTRCAGCCTTTGAAGCATTGTTTGAGTYAGAATCTGATGTTGAAACTTTGTTTGAGGATGAAAGCTCAAGTGATGAGGAGGAGATTGTTGATGAACCTACAGACAATTACATTGTKCATTCCAAAGCACTGGAGCCCGCAACTTAGGATCAGTAAACTCAATTTCATCTTCCTCTCTTCACATTCWTCAGAAGGAAAGGGGCAGAGGGGAAATGACAAACAACTATGGGGCATTGAGGAGATGAATGAGTCACATGAGGTTTATCTTTATATGTATGGAAAACTTGACCATATTGATTCATATATCTCCAGATCCAATATTGGTTACAAGTCGTGGAAATGCTATCATGCTGCCATTAATCATGCAAAAGCCTTGGCCATTGCTACTACATATAATATCTACAAAGAGTGTACTGATGGAAGCCTTGGAGATGAGTGGAAGGTAAGCAACATTATGAGCTATTGTGAGTTCCAYCAGAGGCTTGCTTTGCAGATGATAAAATATGATCCTGTGGAACAGGCATATAACTTTGATGCAAGGCTTAGACAGTACACACAACAAAAACAAAGGATAAGCCACTAGAAGATAAGCATGTGAGACTTTCCTTAGCAATGGCAAGTTGCTCAGATATCACAATTTGCAGACCATTGCAGAGAAACAAGTCAATGGAAGATCTTGCTTCACTCAGAGTGAGTATAAAAGACATTTGGTACCAACAGCACCAACAAAGTCAAGGAGCAGAAACATTTGTTACATGTGTGATGGTAATRTGTACAGCTTGTGCAAGCTATGTGGAGTCYCTCTTTGCAGCAGCAATGCTCATTCAAAGAAGCAGGACTCTAGTAATGGAGATCCCATTTGGAAKTTTTGTCACAGCAACTACCACAATTATGAGTGGTTTGRTCTCAGAAGGAGTGACTACTGCTCTAGGGTAAGAAATGACAAAAAAGGAAAGATAGGATCAAGTGGAAGCCACCAAGCAAAGAAGAATTGAAAGATAACACTGAGTACATGAACTTCTTATTGGACRTCAAGGATGATGATGAGTACTWTAAGGATGAGGAAGACAATAGGGGTGCTGGTGATGAAAACTTTGATGTTGTTGTTTCTCCAAGAAGCAGCACTGATGCAACCACTGTTAACAGTGAACTAACTCTACTACCAGCTGCGGATAGTACTACTGAGTTGAGCACAGTGGTTGGACCATTACTAGAATCAGTATAATAAACAAAATAGTTACAATTATAAAATRTGGATGATACTTTTCTCACTCCTTTTCCCATTGCTTTGCTCATTTGGTTGCTTGTACAGATGCTGATTCASYWGYTGCTGATTCTGTTGCTTTGTTGTCAGTTGCTGATTTGGTTCCTTTGTTGTTGATTGCTTGTTTGTTGCCGGTTGTTGATACTGCTGTTGATTTGGTTGCTGGTTCTCATGATCAATCTCCTCATAGTTGGCTGAATCAAAGGAAAAGCTTTGATTCCACTCATCAAAGGCAAATTCTTTGGCACATTGAGTGCAAGGAGTGTAGTTGTTTTCCCTCTTCATTACTGTCCTATAGATCTTAAAGAACCACTCATGTTTATCACCAACACTCATCTGCTGTACAGGAAGAAGTGGCTTTGCACCAAATCTAGCAAGCTCTCTTGCCTTTGAAAGATCTTTTTCAAGCATGTCTTCTTTAAACAACCAGCTCAGGTCTCATTCAGCTCCTTGTTGTAYGGAGTGGGTTTGCTGTCCCATTCCCACTCCTCCACCACCCAGCTCCAGTCCTGATTCATTACTACAAACTGTACTCAAGGGGATGGATCATGGATTATTTCAGGCAGAGGGGGGGGGCTCCGGAGCTTCAGGGGGAGGTGCAGAGGTGTCCAGTACAATCTGTAGTATCTTCCATCCAAGGCCTGGATTGATTTGTTGTTACTTTATTAACTCTGCTGCTTTCCTTGCCTTTGTGGCTCMTGGGTGCTATTTCATCTCCATGTTGCCCTTTACGATTGTGAGCTTGCGCTGTGCTGGCATCCACGAATGCATCCGACACTATTCCTTCTGATAAACCAGAAAAAGAACAAATTRATCAAGGAGGGGTATTGCCAAGTACTGAGTTCACACAATAAGTGGCCTAATTTTGTGAGCAGTTTGTCTGTTGAAGTGCAAAGTGTCCATTGTGGGACTCAAATGGSTTGGGTCGAAGCAGTCTTAACACAGTAATTAGATGGCCAGTTATCCCCACACCGTGTGGTAACTTAACTGTATAACTGTTTCAGTATCGAATTTACACCAGTTTGGGCTGTAACTTTGACCACAACAGACAGATRAAGACAAGAAGCACATGGTTAGAGCTTTCTAACGCCATGGGGAGTAGGGGATCAGAGAAGTATTGATCAATATACTTATATTCAGCATTCCTAATGCACAAATGACATGGCCAGAAAATCAGACACRGCCAGAAAATTGCTGCCAACAACACTATACAATAATATTTTAGCAAGACAGTTACATACATTGAGGAGATTTAAAGCTGCTTGCAAATGATTGACATTGGTGATGTCTGATCATTGATATCATCAGAGCATATGGTGGGGATTTATAAGGGACTGAAATAAATTACTCCTAGAGCTGCTGTATTTTGCAAGCAGCAGAAAATTTTAGGAACTTGGCCCTTGTTACATTCTGTGTTGCATCAAAATTTACCAAAAATTTATGAGCATTCTTGGAAGAAATTCACCTGCCCCTAGTACTGGTGGCACTAGTATGAGTGTATTTTGATCCATTTAAAAAAAATTCTTAATGAGAATTAAATATTCTTTRTAGTAGTAGAGGCTTTCACTAAAATTCTGGTGACAAGGACAACAAAACTTTCTGAATCTGGATCCCCCTGAATTACATGGGGTGTTTATTTTTATATTTAGTTACACAAAGCCTTCTAATTTTTTAAAATTGGTGCATACATATTCTAAAAATTAACCTTGCACGAGGGCAAGAGAGGTCCAAAACACTTTCTTGGAGGACTAGTACACCAAAAAGAAGTGGTGGTGATGGGAGATGATGATGCTGAGCAGGATCCTACTATCACCAGGGATTGATGCAGAGGAGATTTTAGGGATGGAAAAGAACATGATCATGGTTGATGTTGTGAGGAGATGCAAGGGTAGTACAAGAAAAATAAACAACAAGAAGCAAGAAGGTATCAACAATGATACTACTACTAGCCTAGTATTGATATCCTAGTACTAGTAGAAAGGTGGGAAATCATTCACAAAAGAAAATTATGGTTTGAGGGCGGAGTAGGTATTTTCATTGTTCAATATTGCAATTACAAGTTGAAGAAATTGAATAGAACAACAAGAAGGACAAGGAAGGCAAGGAGGAGGAGCAGCAATGGTGGACTGAGGAGATTGCTGCCTTGTTTCTTGCGTCACGTGGTGGAAGAAAACTTGTCCACCAACTTGTTTCAACTTGTTGTTGCTGTTCTTCTTGTTCTTGCTGGCAAGACAACAAGAGCAGCAGTCAAGGAGTGAAATTCCAACATGCTGGAAAATGTTATTTCTCTGTTGTTTCTGTCCAAACCTGCTGTTCTTAATACTCAATACTAGTAGTAGTACTTGTTGTTGTTCTTCTGTGCCCACAAGCAGCCGACGTGAGTTCTGAGAGGTTCTTTTTTTTGCTTGTTCTTACTAGTATCAGGACGCTTAAGTATTTTAGGGGAGGTCCCGCCTAAATTTTGATTCTCGTGTTCGTTCATCTTGTACCACCATACATTGGTGCCGGCTGGATCTACGTTACGTCTTACGTCACGCTTCGCCTGTGAACTCCACATTGTGTTAACGGTTAACGATCCATACGGTACTTCTGTCCTCAAGGAGGAAGCATGAAGAATAATCTGTGATCCGCTATGAAGGGAAGCGATCCAAAGGATTGAGATTGACATACGAGTACGAGTACTTTTCTACACACCATTTTCGASGGGAGGAAAAAACAGAAAAATCGAACASAGAAACCCAGTAGTGGAAACTCTCAAGGCAGAGTTCGGTTTCCTTCGGATATGTTTTCTGATCCGAAAAAAGAAAACCCCATTTCACCTTTATTTGACGTCACAACAGACGGACACTAGCTCGTGCACTGTTTACGCTTCGTGACGTCAACAGAGATTTATTGCAAGTCAACTATTTACAAGCGATAGCACAAACGCTCGCTCTTGCAACTCCACCGTTGATTGAATACAAGTCATCGAAGAATTGGAATCGATTATCTCCTGTCCCTCCAAATAGGCACCGCTGTCGTGGGGCTACAACATTGAACAAAGATCAAACGCACTTGATATCAACATCAACATCAATTCCAAATCGACAGCGAAATCAACGCCAGCATCTGAAAGAGACACATAGTCCGCAATAAACGAAACCAAACTTAATTTAATTTGATTGTACCACCATGGGATGCGGTCAGAGCAAGGAAGCTGGTGCGGTGTCATCTTTTGCGCCACCACAGGTAGTGTCTTCTTCCCCACACACGACTAAAGCGAAAGCAGAAGCTGGTCCCGTTACTTCGCCTGTCTCCGCTCCAAAGTCATCGAGCACGAAGGTGAATGAAAACCCAAATGCAAATAATGCAATCAAGAACAATACGATATCAGTTGGCGTGAACGGCGACGACATTACCAAGTCTCTGAAAATGGTRAAGCTAAACGACGTCGTTCCCATGCAGGRCGGCGGAAGTTCTGACGGCGACAATCGGGGGCGTTTCTTGAGCTACGCTTCGGGGGCTTCCACGCCAAATACGAGTTCCGGAAACCTCAGCTGGTCGGGAGACGGCAGCAAGGACGAAGGAGAGACAAAGAGCTCAGAGACCACCGGTACAGTTTCGAGCGGTGGAACGAACCAAGGAWGTACCGCCAAACCCAAGAATAAGCTGTACAAACACAAACACACCGGATCGGCCATTGACCTCGRAAATATGCTCAACGACCAAAACATCACGTCCCTGACGTCAAAGGTTGTCCACATCGAGGTTCCCTTCGGCAGGCCCATCGAAGAGGTTTACGACGGGGTCCACAACGGGCCGATCCTGGGCTCTGGCGTTTCGGGAATCGTCCGGAAAGTCACACACAAGAAAACGGGCGTCGAATATGCCGTCAAGTCTCTCGATCTGCAATGGGTGGAAACCAAGGAGGGCCTGGAACAATTGCGAGAAGAAATCTTCATCATGTGCCAGCTCGATCACCCCAACATTGTCCGATTGGAAGAAGTCTATGAGAGCCACTCGGAAATTTACCTCGTGCAGGAACTTTGTACCGGGGGGGAACTCTTTGATCGTTTGGACGAGCAACCCGACTATCACTACACAGAGGCCGAGTGTGCCCGACTGATCAAGCAGATGCTCTGTGCCGTCCGGTATCTTCACTCGAAAGGAATCATTCACCGGGACCTGAAGCTTGAGAACTTTTTGTTTTCGAGCACGGCACACGATTCGGAGCTCAAAATGATCGACTTTGGATTGAGCAAGCATTTCCGATACGGCGAGGTCCAYCACGAAGCAGTCGGGACCCCATATACCGTGGCTCCGGAGGTGATTCGGGGYCGATACGACGAGCGTTGTGACATATGGGCGATTGGCGTGATTGCCTTTCTCTTGTTCAGTGGCGATCCACCCTTTGGTGGATGCGGAGGYCCAGAACCCTTGCTAGTGGTCCGGCAAAACATATTGGACGGAGAGTTTGAATTCGAGCCGGCCGAAATATGGGATCTCGTCAGCGATCTGGGCAAGGCGTTTGTGAAAGACCTGCTGGTGACGGATCCCAAAAAGCGACCCACGGCCCGGGAATCGCAAAAACATGCCTGGCTAAAGATGCAGGCCGGGCGAGACTCGGACGGAAACCGGCAGGAAAACGTTCTCAATCCGAACGTCGTCAAGGCCTTGGTCGGCTTCAAGGAATTTTCCGTCATGAGGAAGCTCCTCTCCGAAGTTTTGAGTTTTACCCTCTTGCCAGAACAAATCAAGGATTTGCGGAAAGAGTTCGAAATCATGGACACCGATGGGACGGGAGAGATCACACTGGACAACCTGAAACAAGTATTGGTATCAAATGCCGAAGCCGGATCCCTCGGTGCTCTTACCGAAGAGGAGGTCGTGGATATTTTCAATGCCATGAGAGTCAATAAAGAAGAGACCACAATCCATTGGCATGAATTCATCGCTGCTGGCCTTACCCAGTGCCGTGTGGACGATCGCAATTTGCGGCTGGCCTTCGATCGTTTGGACAGCGACCACAAGGGCTACCTTACCCTGAAAGATATCGTTAACCTTGTGGGAAGCGAAGACATGGCGACTGAACAAGAAATGCGAAAAATGTGGACCGAAAGCATGGCGAACGTGGGCGGCAACCAAGATCACATTACATACGATCACTTTCTGCTCATAATGAAGGGACAAACAGAAAAGGCAGTGCGCCACCACCACATTGACATGGAACTRCGCCCGAAACAGCTGGAGTCGGTCCCGGAGACAGAGGACGATMTATCTATAGCTTTGTCGACARGTATGACTTCCTCTATCACCACAACAACATCTGCTACGCCTTCTGCCCCGGCCAACAACCAGAATCTCGCTCTTGTTACGAACAATACGAAACCAATCGACACAGAAGAGCCCAAKATAGAGAAAGACAATTCTCACTTCCTTGTTTTGGCCGAAACCAATCATTCTCTGCCAAACTTGGGAGTTCAATCCATGTACGACTCCACGAGCTCTGTCTCGATTGGAGACGGCAGTTTTGTGGCCTCGGGTCTATCATCCAACAGAAATGCCGCTTGGCCATCACCAAAAAGTTTGAAGGCCGCCAGCCCAAAGCCCAACACGCTTCTCAAAGAGGGCCTGCCAGCTGYAYTGGCCCCTCCAACACTCCTACCAAAAACTGTTCTAAAACCCACATTGACCCGGAAGAGATCTCAGTCATTGGAGTCCGAGCCGACTCATTATGGCCGACACGATTCACTACTGGACGATTCGGACGATTTGGAATCATCATCCAGCTATCAACCCGGAAAGTCAGAGAAGGCTATGCTCGGTGTGGACACGAGGCGTGCGCTYAACCTTCCCGAAAGGGACGACGCAATTCAGGATGAACTGGCGAAGAAGAGTGCACTTACAGTCAACCGTGAATTGTATCGAGCTCATCGCCAGATGCGCATAAATGTTCTAGAAGCATCCCGTCGSTTCGAAGAAAAGCAAGCGATTCGAGCTCGAGATACTTTGATGAAGAAACAAATGAAGGAAGCAATGGGAGCTGGTTTGGTCATGAGGCATGGTACCAAGCTCCAGGTCACGTCCGACGCCATTCGAAAGTATTTGGACAAAACCGCGGCAGAACAACGGGTTCARATTGAGAAGGCGAACCGTAAGGGTGGACGGGGTCGCCGCACCCGAAAGAAGACTATTTCGGATATGAGTGCRATGCTCAGTCCTAGCATGGGTCAGGACGAATTGGGGGACATAGCAAAGGCGGCGGCATGGTCAAAGACTCCGGATTCGAAACGATCYGTGAACCACTACGATTTTGATGGGGTCGAATGCATGCCAGACTTGTCGCCGAAMAATGCTGGATTGGACACGGTCAGCAACCTCCCGATATCTCTGGCACCAAGAAGAATGTCAAAGGGCAACAAAGCCATGGCAGAAGCAGCTGCCAAGGTCGGTGTCGATACCACTGGAGCTATCGAAACCCAGGGTGATGCCGCTGCGGTTCCAAGTTTACCGGAAATAGACCATAAAGCTCTGCGGAAGGCCACAGTTCCGGGACAATTCCTGAAGACCGAAGACCCTTTCAGTACGTCAGGGATGTATGCGACATGATGTAGGATTGAATTGTRATAGTATTACGTGGGCAAACATATTGAAGAAATGCTAGATGATATACGATCCTATTTCCTTTTGGAACCTAGTAGTCCGACTAGCTTTGGTATCCAATATTCAAGAAAGCGATACGAATACTTAYGTAAATACAACCATTCATTAACGAAAACCTTCAAATATTTGGACTGCAAATCCGAGTAGTGCACCGAGATTCAAGAACAATTTGGAGGGATCGCAAATCAYATTATCACCAATRTCTACTTTCAAGGTTGATGTATATTTCTATGCTTTTCTTGTTRCTACTATGGGCTTTCCTCAATACAGGAATCTACCACCCATCCCTTCAGTCCTACTGCATTGAGATACATAAAGATCTTGATATTCATTCTTGAACAAGAAATTTTCAATACTACTGTTACTAGTAGTACTAGTAGTTTTTGCTACACACTCTGAGAGTACTTGTCCTTCTCTTATTACTAGCAGATGTACAATTTTTTCCTTTGCAGTCACAAAAACAGTGTAACAAGGGGAAGCATGCCTGCAGTGATAGTATGACTACTAGTACATCACAAAAACCGATATGATAGCATTCATTTTTTCCCACAACCAGCAGAAGAAATTCTGTCTGTTTTTTGAGTAGCAGCCAGTAAAACAATTCTTCGTGATCATGCATTGAATATGCTTATAGTAGTTACAACAAAATTTTTCAGAACAACAATGGCAGTTCTGAAAGAAAAAGACTCTCAGTTCTGGTGGAGCCACACTTCTACTAGTAGTACTAGTAGTAGTACTAGTAGTCAGTGCCACCACTGAAAAGGAAACTTTGTGTTCTCTGCTGGGATGCTGCACCAGTTCCAAAGAAAAACAGAGATCAGTAATGAGATACTAGTATGACACAAGTTCTAGTAGAAGAAAATTAGTGCTTTATGCATCAAATTCCATCATCCTGCTGTGTTTCTTGAGGTGTGCACGAGGTTGACACCAGTAGCACCTTCTTGTCAGCATCATTTCTAAGCAAACAGTGATGTCCTTCAGAATACTAGTATGGTAATWATTTACAGAAAGAATATTTAATGAGTATTTTGTTTCTTTGAGGATTGTCATAGAACATAGCATGATGTTCCTAGTATTATCAACAATCAATTCAATGGAATGCTTGTACAGCTACTAATACTATTAGCATGTGTAAATTGCTCACCCCCCCATTTCATTCTTCTTCTTCTTCCTTCTCCTCCTCTTGTTTTTGTTGTTTTTGTTTTTGTT